CCAGCACAAGGCCTTCCAGGCCCCTTTACTGCAGCATGTATCAAGACCGGCTGAATAATATTCCCCTGTACGTGTGTACCACATTGTGTTTATCCTTTTATCTGTTGATGGAGATTTGGATCATTTCTACCTTTTGGTTCATTTTGAGGCTCTGCTTTCAAGTCTTGTGGGCGTATGCAGAGGGGAGAATTGCTGGGTTAACGGGAGTTCTATTTTTAGGGTTTGTTTTTGTTTTGTTTTTTCATTAGATACATTTTATTTCATCAAAGCATCACAGGCAGGTCTAAGGACTCAACTAGCCTGTAGCCGGACACGTCTTAGATCTTACTCCTCACCCTGTTGAATTGTTCCTTTTTCAGAAACATAGATCCCATCCAAAATATTCAGATATTCTAGTTTTTAACTGTTGTGGCTTGCTGAATTAAAGCAGCTACATTTGACACAAGTTCAGTGCCATTTCTTTCAAGAACTATCTCATCTTTCTGGGCTCAAGACAAGAGCAAGCAACACCTGTCCTTAGCTGAACCCTCTGGATATATTTTTCACCCCAGAAGTTACGGATTTCAACGAGACCCACTGTCCTGAATGACAGCATTGATGGGGAACTGTGCACACACAGACCTCATCTTGTATTGGAAGCCCAGTGTAGCACCCTGGATCATGTTCCGTACAAGACCACAGCTTTTGCTATTTCTATTTCCCCATCATTTGTCAACTCAAAGCATCTCCTTTTCCTTTTAAGGAGATTGAGCTCCACCTTGATGTGATTGGGCCCTTCACAATAACTTGCACCCCTTCGGGGAAATAGCTGCATTCTTTGGAGTGTCTCTGATTTGGTGCTGACAATGGTCTTTATTCTAGCAGTAGATGCAGCAAAGCCATTTTTTTTTTTCAAGAACCACCATACTGTTTACCACAATGACTACCATTTTGTATTTTTACCAGTAATAGATAAGGGTTCCAATTTCCTCATATCCTCAACATATTTTTAAAAACCTTAGCCAGTTAGTTGATTTTGAGAAATACTCGCCGTCATCAAGCGGACTCTGAGTCATGACCCACTGGAAGAGTAGAGCTGCCTGGAAGAGTAGAGCTGCCTGCTCGGATCTGTGAAACTAAGTCTTTTCAGAAGTACACAGCCCATCTTTCTTCCTCAGAGAGGCTGGTAGATTCAAACTGCTGACCTTGTGGTTAGCAGCAGCTCAATGTGTAACCCACTCTGCCACCAGAGCTCCTTAGTAGGGTCTCTGAGGCTGCCAATCCAACAGGAGCCCATAGCTTTTTCTCCCTCAAGGCATCCAATGATTATCTGAGGTTTCCACAGTGCAACAAGGTATTTCACGCTGGCTTTCATTTGCATTTCTTTGATGCTAAGCATTTACGATTCCCATGTGCTTGGTGGCCATTTGAATGTTCTTTGGTCCATCCCACCCTTTGACCATTCTATGATTGAATTGTCTTTTTGCTGTTCGGTTGTTAGATGCTCCTCCGGCACTTGGTTCCCACTGTACTCTCTCAGTGTGTAGCTCATCTTTTGACAGTTTTGGTAAAGGCTTTTGATGAACAGAAGTTTTAAGGTCCTATTTATTTGTCTTTTGAGGTTTGTGCTTCTATTATTAGACTGTGCATTGTTAAAAGCTAGGCCTGGCAGTGTTGCCCCTGCTAGACTTTATTATTTCAATTTGCACTTTAAGGTCCTGAGCCCATTTTGTCTTTCTTGTTATGTTGGTGTGAGGCAGAGATCCTGACTCATTTTTTCCTCCATGTGGAAATCCAATTTTCCCACACCATTTATTGAAGAGACCCTTCCTTTCCCTTCGGATGAACTCAGCAACCCTGTGAAAACATCAACGGACTGTACGTGTGCGGGTTCATTTCCAGACTCTGAAGCTGATCTATCGATTGTTACGTTGCTTTGATTACTGTACCTGGTACAGTCTGTTTTAACATCAGCCCTTCTATTTTGTCATTCTCTTTCAACGTTAGCTGGGTCCTCCTGTCATGCACGTAAAGGTGAGGGTTTGCTTTTCTTTCTGGACATAAGGCTGTGGGAATCACACTGACTCTATAGACAGCTTTGAGGATCAGTGGCATTGAGGGATGCCCTCTAACCCTGCGCATGGGAGACCTGTGCGTTTATTTTGCTGTCCGCTCCTCTGATTTCCTGGCTCAAGTCCTTTCCTGCCCCCGTTAGATTTCTTCTGAGCTACTTGATTCTCTTAGCGCTCTTATAAATGGGACTTTTTCCCTAAGTTCCCATTTTTCATTGCTGGTGTATAGAAACCAAATGGATTTTTGTTTGTTGACCTTGTACCTTACAGCTTTGCTAAGTTCTTTTATCTCTGGAAATTTTCTTGTGGACTCTTTGTTTTCAATGTAGGATACTTTTATCTACTAATAATTTTACTTCTTTTCCAGTGTGGATACATTTTGTTTTTGTTCTTAGTGCTTTGACTAGGACTCCTAATACAATATTAAACAGAAGTGGTGAGAGTGAGCACCCTTCTTATTCTCATTTCCCAGGAGAAAGCTCTGCTTCCATTAAGTGTAACATCAGCTATTGGCATTTCATATATGCCCTGAATCAGATTGAGGGGTTCCCCTTCTTTACTATCTTCTTTAGAGCTTTCAAGAAAGGGTGTTGGATTTTACCAAATGCATTTTTATTTTTAGAGTGCATCAGTGAGGCAGTGAGTGAGACAGTGAGGCAGTGAGAGTGAGTGAGACAGGTAGTGAGAGAGACAGGTAGTGAGTGAGGCAGTGAGTGAGTGAGGTAGTGAGAGTGAGGCAGAGAGTGAGGCAGTGAGTGAATGAGACAGTGAGTGAGCAAGAGTCAGTGAGTGAGACAGTGAGTGAGTGAGAGTGGGTCAGTGAGTGAGGCAGTGACCAAATGCCTTTTATGCATCCATAGAGACAGTGATTATTTTCCTTTGTTCTCCTGATGAGGAATACTGGTTGATATACTAATGAACCATCCCTGCACCCCTAGCACGAATCCCATTTGATTATAGCGTATGACTCAAAACACTGTTGACTTGTTGTTATTCTGTTGCGGAGTTTGGAATCGACAC